TATCTGGAGAGAAAAAAAAAAAAAATATTTCGGAACCACATATCGAAACAATGCAACACAAATCGAAACAGAGACGAACAGGACATCACTCGATGGATGTATGTACCAATAATTCTTCACACATAAATTTGCAAGTAACACGACAGTGCCTTATAGAGGGATATCTATACCAGCTTAGGCGGAGCTAGGGTTTCGACAGTGAAAAAAGACCGAACTTGATGAACAAGCACCCAACAAAACTAAAAAAATGAGCTCCATTTAAGCTTAGAGAACAGTAAATAAGCAACTATTTTGAAACTATACTGCAAACGGTAAACAAAGAGAAAAAATTGGAAACCTTTAAACCATATCGAAACAATGAAACACAAAATCGAAACAGAGACGAACAGAGAATCACTCGATGGATGTAAAATTACCAGTAAAAGATTGTAACTTGAAATTAAAACAACTTGATATCACAATTTTTTCGAGCGAAAATTACACGACAGTAGCTTATTGAGGGGTGTATGTATGTACCTCTTGGACGGAGCTAGGGTTTCCATGTAGGAAAGAAAATGGAGGAACGCAGGTTGGTATGGGAAGGGGAGGGACCTTTTTTACAATGTTCTCATAATCGATTCGATTATTGAACCGCGGATTAATGGTCGAACCGGTTTAATGAATATATAATTTTTTATTTATTTTATATGTATAATATATAATTGTATATATTTTTATCATTAATTTTTTTTGCTGCTGAGTGTAAGGTTAGAACCGGTGCCTACAATTAGCATTGGAGCCATTAGCCATACCGGCTACTACACCACATGTCCAGTTACTTTTATTTATTTATTTATTTATTTTTAAACAATAATTATATTAATAACTGAAAACTTAAAAAAAAGTACATCAAGTTGTAAAGACACCACTTAAGCTAGAACAAACTGAACCAACCCTCCTTGGAATTACACAAGCAACCGGTAATACCAACAAAACAAAAACTCTATAAAAAAGACATAAACTCTACAAAAGAGACTAGAAAAGTTACTTTTATTTAGTCAGAAATTAGTTTTTTTGAATGTTAAAAGGCCCAAAATTATAAACCGTTGAACCGGTTGAACCGCCACCGGTTCGACCGGTTGTTGATCGGTTCGAGCGGTTCATGAACGTTCTTTTGGCCCAGCGGTTCAATACTTAAATCAAATTGGTGTTATGGCTGGTTCCCGGTAGAACCGATCGGCCGGTCCGATACGGTACGATTTTGAAAACCATGTTTTTTTTATATTTCTCTTGTTTGATTGGGAAATTAAAATAGGAGAGGAAGAAAAATTTTAAGTTAGAATTCTCTCTCCTCCCCATTTTTGCTCCCCTCCAAAAATGGGGGAATTTGGAGGGGATGAAAAATTGTAAGTAATACATTTACTATTTAGCTCTTATTATATATAACTAATGTGTAGCCCGTGCGATGCACGCGAACAATATTTAATTAATAATATTATAAATAGGTCTCGAGTTTGAGTCACTCAATGGCCGAAGTGGAAACAACTATTGATCATATTTAAAAAGAGGAAGAAAAAAATAATTATAAATAAAAGAGGAGGATAACCAATACTTAATAATTATAAATTAAAGATTCGGAGTCAAACAATGTAAAATTATTTTCTATAATAGAATATAAAATTTACGTTATCATGTATAAGAGAATATAAATCCGCCTTAGTTGGCCTCCTTCAAAAGTAGTGATGTAGGCGGATATTAGCTTGGCAGTCCCTGGTCGAATCCAAAATTTTATGTATGTTTAATATTAAAAACACGTAAAATATTATATTAGTATATGTAGAAATATTCAAAATTTTCTATATTATTTTTTAAAAATGTGAAGTCACCTACAACTTTTTTAAACAATTTTAGAAGGAAAACATATCTAAAAACATTTGAATTTGACATTCTGTAATAAAGACATTTCTACACTATTTTGAAATAAAAACTTGTCTACAAATATCTAAATTTGAAATCAATTATGTATATATATATATGTGTGTGTGTGTGTGTATATATATATGTATATATAGACGAATATGTAAAAAAATGTCTAAACAATTTGTTTAAACATGTAAAATATAATAAGCATAATTTAATACAGACATTATGTCAGATGATACCGAATTTATGACTTTACTTTCATTTTAACAAAATTTGATTACACACAATTTCAAAATTATTATTAATTTATGACTTTACTTTCATTTTACAAAATTTGATTACACACAATTTCAAAATTATTATTATATTTTTACGTTGACATCGAGGACGCATTATTAGCTTATAATATTTGTATTAATATTAGTAATTAGACAGATTAAAAATTGTTTTTTTAAAGTAGATAATCGATTTCTAATAGTAATTAGAAATTACTTTTTATTTTATTTTGCTTTTTAAAATTTGTATAGATAAAGGATGCTACCGAGATTTATGCATAAAGATGAGATTTGATAAGCTAAGGACTTATCAATTTAACAACTCCAGTTTACTATCAATAATATTGTTTTGATTTTTCATGACAACCGATGTGTATGAACCAAAATTCAATATTTTAGGCTATTTTTTCAACGTATTCTTTATAAAAATTTCTAAAAGTAGAAAGAATTAAATGTTGTCCAAAAATCTTTCTAATGTTAATCTCTTTATATATATATATATATATATATAAATATAAATATAAATATAAATTTTTAATTTTTATTTCTAACATCATTAATAAAATTATTTTACATAACCTCCCCTTCCCTTCTAACCCCTCCATTAACACCCTCGACTGGCTCGTCTACACCCTCGACTGGCTCGTCTACACCCTCGACTGGCTCGTCTAATCAATTTCGGAATCAAATTTCGCTATCTTATGGAATTACTAGCCCTAGGCAACAACACGTCTGTTACCCAAATTTTTCCTTATTTTAATCTAACCGCGAGACGCTCTACGATTAGACCTGACTTCTTGTACAGTCCAGAAAAACGTATTCAAGATTTAATATAATTAGTCGCTTTACTAATTATAAAAAATAGGTTAGACTAAGTAGTGAACTCAACCGGGTTCATTTACTTAAATAGGTCGTGTTATCACCGGTAGTAACCGTCTTCCGGTAGCTATAGATATGAAAAGCCTAATCTAGGTGATCAATCTAAATAAGACTCAACACATCATGATTAATTTTTCAAAATAACACGAACAATTCCAAAGAGATATTGAAATTATCAACCATATAAATCAATCAAACATCGTCAATCGTAGGGTTCGACTTCCCCGTAACTAAAAATAAGAGTACTAGCCACACATAGCATTCGAAAACATAATCCTTCTCCTATGACTCACGATCTGCTTTCTGCCTTCAATTCCCAGCCGCCAATGTGTAAAGTTGATCCAAAGTGTTATCTTCAAGGCAAAGTCTCTTTCTTATATATCCCCAATGCCACGTCATATCAGACCCACTTCAGCATAAATAAATGCAGCCCAACATGATTAATTTCTGCCAACTTATGTGAGGTGCGTGCGCCCACAATGTATTGCATGGGCTTGTTGGATAGCATAGTACGGGGTGTCGTCTTTGTTGCAGCAAAATATGGGGTAGCCCCATACTGCACCAAACGTAGGTTGCCGAGCTCGCATCTTTGCCTTCAATAACATCGTTCGCTATAAATACGTCCTACAATGCTGAAAAACACTAAAAACCTCATCAAAGCACAAGAATCGCTCATAATATCAAATAAGTCAAAAAAATGCATAAATGCAAAGAATAAACGTGCAAAATCACAATATTAGATAACTAATGCAAACAGGTATTTCGACTAATCATATACTAATTGAATGTCGGTTGCGTACGCACAATCGAGTTCAATTTAGTCGATAATGAAGTTAAAATTTGGTGTCTATTAAATGTACGCAATGTGGGACAGAGTTCAGTCCCTCATTTGTTTTATTATTTTAAAATCTTTCGACAAGTCGATATAATTTTAAATAATCAGTTCAATTGATAAATTATTCCTTTATTATTATTAAATTGAAGACAAAAAAAAAAAAAAAAGGATGTGAAGCTTGAAAAACTGTCTGAATAGGCTTTAACTCTTGCACCGTGTGAACCAATAACAACAAAGCAAATCTAAGATAAAGAAGAAAAGACTGACTACACAAAGGTAAAAGTATAAGGAACAAGAATTGAATCTTAAAGATGTCGATGAGCCAACATCTCATGGTTGAAAGTACAATGTTATGTTAGAAAATAACATAAGGACCAAGTGGTACACCAAGGGGTACATGTAGCATGGTCCTAGAAAATAACATGAGGACCCTACAACATCTTAAATTTATAAGAAGATGCTTCAAAAACTACACAATATGAAGTGCATTCTAGGTTCATCCAAATATTTCGTTGTTAATTATGTCATCGAAGTTGTCCAATCATGTAGGTAAAAGAACTAGCTCACATAAATTATAGTCAAACTCAGGGCCGGCTTTTTGGGGAGGCGGCTTAGGCCCATGCCTAGGGCCTCCCCACATATT